GAAATATACGGAAAGTTTATGAAATAATGGTTGAGAGGAACGTCGTCAGCACCAAGCCAGGTCGGTTCAGAGTGATAGGACAGTAGTATTTGTTTGCTAAAGTCTTTTCCCAAACTAGAGCGGCGTGCTGTCAACATTGTTCTGTAAATAAGTACCGCATAGAATGTTAAAATAGAATAACCCAATTCATACAATAATAATGATGTAGGAAGTTTGATTAGCGCTACGCGCAGAGATCATGAAATAAATATACTCCATGTCTAGAAACTAAGGCAGTTTGTGGGAAGATTATTGGGGAGAAGTATACTCAGAGTTTTTTCTCCAGGATTTTTTGTTCTAAAAATCTGCCACACCATAGAAAGATCTTGTGGCAAAACATTGGAACCGATAAATTCACGGCCAAGTAATATTCGTACCATATTGATTGTATTACTGTATCAGAACACGAGCGATGATTTTCTCTTGATATGAATCCATGTCAAGCCGGCGTAGGGGGACTATTGTCAACACCTGCCAGTGGTGTCCCCTACGAACCTCCAGCTCTCAATGTAGAGACGAGTTTGACTAACACCTTTTCAACCTTGAGCTGAGTTATCTCCCCCTCCGTCAAAGATACGCTTCCGATAACACATAAGACGATGATAATGATGCTGGGAATGGGGAAAGATAATGCGCTACCAAAAGCTACAACGGTAGTCAGAGAAGCCCTCGTTATATCACAACATGTACTACCCACCGGCGGGAAAACAAAACGCCCAAGAAAGCAAAGTAAAAGACCCTTCCGCCCTCAAGAAAAGCAGATTTCGACTCGTCTACATCATCTTCCCTACTAATCTTAACTTCCGAATCTACTAGCCAGGAGGGCATCTGAAATACACGAGTTACTCGACAATCCCACGTCCGTAACGACTTTTGGATGCTAGGCTAGGCTCCTTCATAACAGTCACTCTCGACCAAGACTTTTCTGACATCCTTTCACGACCTTCGGTTTGTCCTGCGGTATGAATCAGGAGAGGAGGAGGCTAGGAAGGTTGAGAGAAACTCTTAGGTATACACAGGTCTGCTATGCCCGGCTGGCTGGCCTCTTCGTCGTAGGAGAGCCCCGCACCCAGTGGTTTTTGCGATTTTTCCCGGCTGCTATATAACCGCAAATGGCCATCGCTTCGTTAGCTGGAGAGGGGGAATAATGAAGAGAAAACGACTCCTCTGAGTGTGAACTCGAATGAATACCTGTGGGTGTATTACTGCTGGAAAAAAGTCGTGAAGCAGGCGTAGGAGGGAGTACACTACCCGAGGCATAGATACTCCCGGCCTGTAGGCAGAAAGGACCTACATGTCCTTACATAGTTATAGACTCTTTTGGACAATAAACAGTCACTCTCACTCATAGCGAGCGGGGTAGAGAGGAGATATAGTCTAACCTATTACGAGCTAGCCTAACTGGGCCTGCAGGGCGAATCCCTTAAACGACCAAGTTTCAAGTTTAACGTTTTCTATGCCAGAGGGACTGTAGACATGACACGGGTAGCAATGAGCTCTGAGAGCCCATTGCTACTTACACGACCGGTAGTGAAGCCAGAAGCGACAGAAGAAAAGAAGGAAATAAAAGTTATAGCAGATGTCTGAGTTACGGTGCCCTGGGCCGCATCCCTATCTTCCACACCCATTTCCTCTTGAGTCAGAAACAATCTCAGCGTGGTAACCTCCCATCCTGTTCATTCTTGGGCAGACTGTAACATCTGCTTGTAGTTAAGAATTGAATGAACTTCTGCCATCTCTTCTCTACTATCATTTCTCTAGCCCCAGGTGGAGCCATTTTCGCACAGCTTCTCCAACGTTGAAAAGTGGGTCATCACTCTGAAAAATGCCAGGGCCTTTGCTCTCGGCCGCAAACGCATTTTAGATCTTCATGTTCTGGGTCGAAACATCGATGGTAGCCGGCGTAGTCCCCGTGGCCCGTTCTTGCCGCAATCAGACGATGGTACGCCCATCTTGGTAGAGTCAGTTCCGGTGGCTGTTTTTTTTTTTTGCATCAGATTTTAATTGCGTATGCAGCTATCTAGCTATAACACAATATCAAAGAAAAGTACAGAACTGATGATTCAACGTAAAGGAAGAGCACTCATGCCTCGGATTTCATTTGCAAGTACCACTGCGAAGTTATGGCAGCTTTTTCTTCACCCCAAGTCAACCCTCATCCGTGAATACCCACCCAGGGGAACGTCTCAAATACCCCGAGTTATCCAGACATGCCTCCGTCATCCATCAACTTTTTTCCGCGCGAAATGTAATCTGAGACGTCTCTTTCCCAAGTGGAGTAGGTGCTCAGGCTACTCAAACCATACCAGAGAACACCACCAGGAGGCGGACCACGTCACCTTCCATCGTTGGCTTGTTTTTATATTGTCAGCTGCACTCTCGCAAGCGAAGTCTTGGCACGCACAAAGCTCAATTTGTAAAAACTCCTTTCCAAAACTCAAAATTCCACTCCCGTCGAGACTGTATCCAATCCTCTGCATCATCTTGTAAACTTGTCCTGATCCCTCTCACGTCCATCCCATAGAACTGCCTCCCAGATTTGTGCTCCACGCTTTGCTTCCTCCTTAGGGTATAAATATCTGCGTGGGCGTGTATTTGGTGACCGGCTGAGGCCAGAGAAAGTCGAAGAGAGGTGTGGTCATTGAAACGAGGATGTACTAGATCGTACTTGTAGACTCGATGAGACGAAGATAGGAGTCAAACTCGTTGGGAGTGAAATAACGACGTGGATGAGTAATTTGGATTTTTGCCTCGTGGGCCAACTTCTTTGATATTGCGAAATTTGACTGAACTTGGCTCTGGGAGAATATTTCACTCCCAGGTCCGTAGAGGACACCGCGTACAGGTGTTCAGTCTTGCCCTCCTATGCAACCGCTCACAATTATTGATATAATAAAGTGTTTATTTCAAGGTTCATTAAATTTCAATCTTCTCCATCCTTCCTCCCTAGGAATCTGCCAGTTGAAAAAAAGTATCTCAGTAGGGTAGATTTACCCACATTGGTGTGGAACTATATCGGTAGTAAGAGTGATTTGATGTAGCTTAAACCTTTTTCCTCTGCTTCTTGACTCTTGATCACCCCCTGGTGAACCAGTAACGGGGATCCCACCATCAAATAAAGGAAACCCCAAGTAGAATGAAAAAGAAAAGTTATATCTAAATAGTCTTTCCCACATAGTTGAAAACCCAGATAGGACATAAATGGATAAATAAGATTGACCCTTGATCAGCGAAATACAGCTCTCATAGTTTGTGCTACACATAATTCAGCATTAGATATTCCAAAATAACCGCTATTTTTCACATCTCACCTATCTCAAGTATATGCCTTGCTAGAGATGTAGCAGATTTAAAAAGTGAAATACAGTTTCCGTAACAAAACACAACGGAGTTCTCTCACGTGAAGCTTTAATCGGATTTTCAACCAATTTTTTGGATGAACAGTAGGTCTCGATATAGCAATTACATCGCCGCTATTCAATAATGTGAGGAGAGTGAACACCGCAGCTGCTATGACCAGGCATCCTTGATGAGGTTTCAAGGAGAATTTTCTCAGGAAAAGGTGAAAGAAGAAGGTTTTGAGGAAGTTTTCGGCAATAGGTTTACTGAGAAGGTTTCCGAGAAAACTCTGACTGTCAGAGATAGAGGGGCTGGCGTCATGACTACAACTACCATAGCCTTAGTTGAGTTCTAGTACTGTCTCGAGTTAGACTTAAGGAAGCTGGAGCTGCCACATAGTAGCTCTTCAGCTTCTCAATCTTTTGATCTTTGATCTCGCAATCTAGCATTTATATAATTTTATAATCTTATATTCTCACAGTCCGATATTCTCAGTCTCTCATTATTCGTTACGTTCTTCGTACTTTTATTGACCCTGAGTTATCAGACTTGATCGCTTGCTAAGCAACTCGACTTCTTGACTTCGTATCTCTCGACTATCTTGTAGTTCTCCGACCCTTAACCACCTGGCACCTCGCCAGCTGAGTAATATCTGAGTATCCTTCGTTAGCAGCTATAATCCTACAAGTTATTAATACCTTACCTTCGGCAGATGGCGATCTCGAGTACTCTTAGCGCACGCCGTAACAGCAGCCAAATTTATAGGATCACCTGTTTACAAACAAAGATTGCCTGAAGTGCTAGCCTGCTTGGGAAGAGAGGATGAATATTCCTCTAACCCATAAATATAATCGAGGCTCCCCAGCATAGAATAGATCATGTTTTCCGGGCAACTTTCATGTCATCATCTTCCATCTTCGGACTACGTTTGACTAAAATGGTGAAGCAGACCGCACGGTCTTTTAGTTGGGATCGGATAACGCGGCTGTTTCATCTAGTTCTTATGGGGAAATAGTGGTTCAATGTCCAAATTTTGCTCAGCTCTGGATCCGCACTATAATCGGTCTTCGGGGTAAACCCCTGTCAAAGCTGGTACCTCTTGGGCCGTTTGACTGTCTGGGACGACCACTACCCGTACCCGATCTCGGAAACGAACTTACGTATCCTACCTACCCAGACAGCGAAAGCAGGCGGGTCAGAGTAAATATCATGCAGCTAGAATGGTGCTAGAGTGTGAGTCACGACCCTTTAAGTTGTCCCCCTTCTATAAAACTGGTTGAGGCTTCGGGTCATTGTAGGACATGACGACGCTGTAGTTACTCTTGCCCCTCAACATGGAATTTGATTACTTGATATGTTGAGCTTACCTTCTTCGTAAAGTCTCTTTCATACAGCTCTTTCTTTCTTGTCTATTCTATATCGCTGTGATTCCAGTTCCATAGCACGAGGCGGGCTTTGCACTTCGATTGCCGTGACTGCTCTTTTTTTATAGGAAGTCATTCATCAAAACAATCTCTACAGCACGACTAAAACAACTTTGTAGGAACCCCTGTTACCTCGTATCATACAAGAAAACTGAAAGCACAACCTGTCAAAGGAAGTAATTCTAAAAGTTCCTAGAAATGGAGGAGAACCACCCTGGTATAAAGTGGTCATCGACGGCTACCCATCGCAAAAACAATACCCCTTATGAACTATCGTCGTTACACCATCGCTCCGTTGGAATTCATGAAAATGATGGTGATGATGCGAGCCAGTTCAATAAGCGAAGAAGTTCTACTCTCTCTGATTACTCAATGAAAGATGTCCGAAACGTAATTCAAACATCAACCGACGAATTATTACTCCCAAAGCTCGATTCCACAAAAATTGAGCATATTCAACGTTCATCTGCATGGCACTCTGCACCATTGGCATTTGCGCTTTTGCCTGCATTGGGAGGTATCTTCTTTACCAACGGAAGCGGCTTTGTTACTGATATCTTGCTCCTCGGGCTGGCTGCCATCTTTCTAAATTGGTCGGTTAGACTACCCTGGTTTGTCTCCATCTTTACCATTCTTTTTTGAGAAGAGGTCTAACTTGTTCATAGGGACTGGTATCATGCTGCTCGCTATATTCAGTACTCTGATGATGACTCAATTGGAGTATTACCAATACCAGAAGACGACAAGAATAAAGAAATATCTCAATCAGCAACTTCTATGGGGCACGTACACGGAGAGGAACCGGAGAAGCCACAGGCGACAGATAACAAGCAACTAAAACGAAATGATGCCTATGAATATGCAGCAAGTGAACTTTCTAGGCGCGAATCATTAGCCCTACTATCTTGCTTCCTATTTCCTCTCATTGGCACCTATTTACTTCATGCATTAAGGTCGCAATTAAATCGGCCAAAGGAAGGTTTGATTTCTGACTATAACTTAACCATATTCTTGCTAGCATCGGAATTAAGGCCAATTGTGCATGTCATGAAACTTATTCAGGCCCGAACACTTCATCTCCAGCGTGTTGTGTCGTCAAAACCTTACAGAAAAGATGTTACATTGAAGACAATCAAGGAAATTTCCCGAAGACTTGAGGAAGTTGAAGCACGAAACCTCACTCTTCACAAAACGAGTTCTGAATTTACCGTTATTGAGAAACAATTAAATTTAATCAGTAGTGAGATTAGAAAAAGTCTACACTCCGAGATTGATACCCTTAATCGTGCCGTCCGTCGATACGAAAAACGGGCTTCCATACAAACGATACAAACTGAGTCAAGGCTTCAAGAACTTGAATCTCGACTGCAAGATACCATTTCTATTGCTGCTATTGCTGCAAAAGCTACTACAAGTCAGCGGATACATACCCATCAGTTAACTACTGCAATTATCAAATGGGCCGCAACGACTTTAATTTTTCCGTTTCAAGCATTCAATAGTCTGGTCAGGCTACCAGGAAAGTTTATGATCAGCTCAACCCAAGTAGGAAAATATATGATGCCGCAGCAAGAGAAACCAGTTGAAAAAATAACGAAAGGAATGAATGTTAAAAAATCTTTTAGTAGATCTAGCCATTTAATGGAAGGTGAGGGCAAAAGTTTTAATGATTAACTCTTGACAACATGCCAAATAACAATTCTCGAAGTTTGCCTCAGATATCATTCCCGCATGTCGAGCAAACCCTAGTGCATGACAGTGAACCGAGGGACATTTGATGCTGAGTCTAGTATTTGCAGATAGAAAAGATTGATGATATACTTCCTTTCCGATAAAATATTGAAATAAAACCAAAATAGACATGAATCCCTATTCAATGAATAGAGAAAAGGTTCAATTTTATGTATCATCAGCCTTTTCATTATTTTTATACTGTTCGGACTGACGATACATCCCGAACACTGTCGACGTCTTCACTAATGCTAAGTTTTGAAAAAATATCAGCCATGGAAAACGTGGATTAAAGTCATGGTGCAGTGGTTGACACGAACCTGTGTTCAACAAACTTGTTCAGGACCTGAGTCGTCAAAAAAGAGAATTGAGAAAGTATTTTATTAGGTTGATTTATCACAAAATCCCAGCAACCTCATTGCCTGTTCATGACTTAATCTCAACCTAAGAGAACAATACAATAGCATTTGTATCATAGTATCTATATGGACTTAGATGGGTGGGACAGCTCATGCCCATGACTAAGAATCAAGCCTGAAGCCTTGAACTAATAGCCACACATGTAAGGAGAGGCTCAAATTAAGCCGCCGACCGAAAACATGAGAGAATCTTCGCTGAGTCTGATGAAAGTAGTTTGAGCTGCCCGCGTGACGTCCAGATAATGAAGCCTAGTAAGGCTACTAACAATAAACCCTTATCGCTGGATTTCCATACAAAGCTCTAGCTTTCGTTTTCAAGCCTGTAGAGCTGAGAATGAGTCTGCCACTGGCGGAAACAACTTATATTTCCAATGTTGACAACATATTCTATTGCTCTAGATGACATAAAATATTCAATATAGGCTACATTACAGCACACTCTTTGTTAAGACTTCTATTTTGTCACAACGAGCTCGAATTTTTGCATATCACGAGCGATAAAATGGGGCTTGAAAGGTAGAGAGTGAAATCCGGAGGTACATAAAAGTCAGCAGCGCCCTGTTGGCTGCTCTCGCGCACATCTGAAGGGCAGCTATATCCTTGGATTGAATCGTGATGTCATTACCATACTAGTACTGCACCAAGTGATTTTTGATGTTTTCTTGCAGCTGAACCCGTGAGAATAGCTTTAAATTAATTTTTGGATAGTTAATGATGCAAAGTGAACAGGTTTTACAGTGTAAAACCGAATTAAGACTTGCAGGGTTTGGTATTTCTGGAAGGTAGCTATGAAGGAGGAGTTGGTATCCTTGGCCTTAAGATAGAAGTGTCAATAATATCGACAAGTCTTAAAATATTATAAGCGTGGATACAATGACTGAGCTAAAAATTGATAATAATAATATCACAGATTGGACGATGCATTAAGTGGAACAAAGGTTCGAAGTCTGGAGTGAAGTTGACTGAAACTATGAAGTAACGAGGAGGGCAAGACTGAACACCTGTACGCGGTGTCCTCTTCGGACCTGGGAGTGAAATATTCTCCCAGAGCCAAGTTCAGTCAAACTTCGCAATACCGAACAAGTTGGCCCACGAGGCAATGATTCAAATTACTCCACCATATCAATCTTTCTCTCCCAACGAAATCGATTCCTACCTAAGCCTCATCAAGTTTACAAGTACGACCTAGTACATCCTCATCCCAATGACCACACCTCTTGTCGACTTTCTCTGGCCTTAGCTGGTCGCCAGATACACGCCCACGCCGATATTTACACCCGACGGAGGAAGCAAAGCGTGGCGCACAAATCTGGAAGACAATTCCTTGGGATGGATATGAGAGGGATCAGGACAAGTTAATAAGATGATGCAGAGGATTGGATACAGTCTCGACGGGCGTGGAATTTTGAGTTTTGGAAAGGAGTTTTTACAAATTGAGCTTTGTGCGTGCCAAGACTTCGGCTGCGAGAGTGCAGGCGACACTATAAACATCGCCATGGTTGGATGGTGCGGTGGTACATCGTCTTGGCCGGTCTGCCAAGTAGAGTCTGGATAGCTTGGACACATATCCCACTCGAGACAGTAGATTGCTGGTTCAAATCCGGCAAAACACAACCACACTTCTCGCGGCGCTGGTATGCATGGATGACAAAGGCATGCTTGGATAACCAAAGGTTTCGAAATTTCCTTTGGTGGGTACTAACGGAGGAGGGTCGACTGTTTGTGTAAGCAAGCATACCTCATAGTGGTATTTGCAAATGAAATCCAGAGAATGAGTGTCTCTAACGTCAAAAGAGTCATCCCACATGTATACATAGCGCCGGTCATTTGTCATAGCTAGATAGCTGAATACACATTAAATGATTTAAAAAAAAAAAAAAAAGAAGTAACGTAACGTAATGTTTTTGTTTTTGTTTTTTTTTTTTTTTACATTTGGTCCTAAGCTAACGCTATCTTTTCCACATTGGGTCAAGAACCGGCGGAGCCGTCAAGGATCACTGTGTACAGGCCCAACTCATTCCAACCGCATGAAGATACTGCCATCATCAAATGCTATTACTATTAAAATATACGCACTCAGATCACTTGTATAACTTGATAAGAGACCCTGCACAGCAGACGTAAGGCGTAGATGAATCAGTATTGAATTGATATCCCACAGTAGTGATATGAGTTGGGTCTTACAGAAATCCCCATCCACCAAACTGTGTTCCAATTATCTACTCTATTCTAAACGTGTCTCATTCCCTCGTATAATTGAGAAGCACTCTGTCAATGACTTGTGTCATCAAAGAATGACTACTCCTTCACTTGACAGATCGTCTCTACGACTCGTCGCGTACATTACTCGGTGAGTACTAACTGACGCGTCTATTGTCCGGACAGTGCACGGCTCGTAACCAAGCGAGTCGTGTAATCCGATACTGGATGTTCCACGTTCTATCTACTAGGACATAATCTGTTTCCCTAACAAAAAATTAATTTTCGAATTTCTTGAAATGTGCGTTTTGTTTGTTCATTAATGTGCTCGGTATAGTGATTCCCGTTGCACTCCTACTGGAGCTTGAGCACGAGTGGGGTCGGGCCGGATCATGTTAACTGCCGTGCAGTACAAATGCCTCGTCCCACCCAAATGACCTGAACCATGCCAAAACGCACTTATGTGTTGAGTCATGACGAATTCAGCAGCCCAGAATTGAAAACAAACCAAAAACTTCCACGCCAAATCCCGCATTAAAAAAGAAAAACTTAAACAATCTCCCTTCCATCGTTCAGCCTCAGCCACCACGCGCCTGAGCCTCGATTCCTATCCCTCTTTCCATGCCAAACCACCTAGGCTTCCGTTCTATCAGGGATGGAGGGACTAAATAATTAGGGCAAGACCCTCAGTATCTATTGGTACATATTAAGTAAATCAATTGTCAAAAAGACTATTAAATTTTAAAGTTATTTTGTTTTCTTTAGCAGTCCTTCATAGTCATAGACTCAGTAGGGACTTAAATTGAATTCTATTCTATTCTATTCTATTCCGTTCTATCACCTCCGAGTCACAGGTATCCCTGCCATCCCCCGACTAGCCTCCGCGTAAATCCCACTCTCCTGGACGTAGTCCCTAAAGAGCAGCCATCCATTTGATCCGAGCATCGTTTCCAGAGCTGGTGCCCTACGCTTCCCGCTTTTGAGCCTCTAAAGTGACGTAATCTACCACAGCTAGTCATTTCGCCCGAGCTTAGCTGTTTGAGGAAGGGTGGAAATTAGCTTGCTCATGAACAGCATAGTACGATTAGTACGTATGATGCAAAAAAAAAAAAAGATTAGTACTCAGGAACACGAGACCATCAGCTTCCTAGTAGTTTGCTGATGAGTATGCGACCAAGAACATAGAAGTAAGTTTAGTGTTATTTCTCAAAGCTAAGCTTGCTACTAGCTCAAAGTCTTACCCGTCTCAGCCAGCCCAGTCATACTGCGGCTAGGATGGCAAAGACAAGTCGCTGCCAGAATCGGAAAGGAAGGCGTTTTGTTACGCAACCCCACCGGCAAAGACTAATTCTTCACCTTCCAGTGGTGCCGGTGTAATCGCTCAGTATGCTCTGCATATCTGGGATAGCCAAGAAGAATCGCATCCGAATCGAAGTCGAAAGCAAACACATGCATATCTCCATTTGACGACTTCTCGACAATACCTCTCTCATCATTATCATCTGAGTCCTCAACCCTTCTCTAACCATGCATCATCTCGCCTCAACGACCAATAAAGAAGTTGCTCCAATTTCATACAGGAGCTTACCCCATTAATCTCCAGCCATCTCTCACTACATATTTACGACGCTACGTATACCCGCAAGGAGAAAATCGAGTCGAAAAACACAAAGTTGGGGTCATGGTTTATGGGGGACTGTTGCTCTAATGGGACAAACAACTTGAGGAAGAACAGGCGGCTGAGGTGTGGAACGAGAGGGGAACAGGTCTTTGAAGACCACGCCGGGACTGACATTTTCGAGGAGTTTTCAACTTTGGATTCTGTGTGGGCGCCAAGACTAAGATTTCGACTAATTAGCCAGGAGGGCTTCTTTTGTCGATGAGTCAACGGCACTCCCCAGCGCCCTGGACGGTACAAAAGAAGTCGGGCTAAGCTACTATACAGTAATCACGCTCTGTCAAGGCTTTTCTGACATTTCAGCACGACCTACGGGAAGGAGTTGGAAGGAGGCTAGAAAGGCAGAGGGTAAATTTCCCGAAGTACCCACAAGTCTGCAGCGCACAGCTGGCCGGCTTCTTCGAACGCTTCGGAAGGGTCACTATGTGTTCGGATTTATTCCTAATGTCGGTATTAGAGGAGCCCCGCACCCAGTGGTTTTTGCCATTTTTCCCGGCTGCCATACACCCGCAAATGGCCATCGTTTCGTTGGCTGGAGAGGGGAGATAATGAAGGACTAAGGGCTCCTCTAGGTGTATGATCGAATGAGGACTTTTGAGGGGTGGTACTGTTTGAGGGGAGCTGTATGGGAGGCGTAGGAGGGGATA